ACTGTCTAAATTTAGATTTTCCTCATCATCCAATAGTGCCAAAGATCGGTTTTGGATACAATGCTGTGCTTTTACTATATATATCTTGCCTGTAAGACGAATCTGATCCACAGCTTTCCGGGTGACAGCACTATGTATGTCTCCATGCAGAGTACAAAGCCGATCTTTGTGGATGAGTTTTTTCTTACACCGAAGTTGCTGCTCAGGCAAAAGCCTTAATGCCAGGGCACCACCGCTGCTATGAGGATCCGGAAGAAACTTTTTTAATCCGACTTTTGAACTGGCTAAGGTTAGTAGAACTGGGAAAGCCTTCCACAGTCTCGACACCCTAGGGACAAAGGAGAGGTCGTATTGGCCGGCTCGGGATGTACGAAGTTCGACACGGTTAGGATGGCAGGCCAAAGTCAGACGAGTCTGCCCGGCAGGCACATTGCGCGGCTACATCATGGAAGAGAGCTCTAAGGAGCAAAGCCCGTTGGGGTAGCGGTAGGTTAGAGCTAGATCGCCGACAGCCCACCGGTGCGAAAGAGTCCTGAGACTGCCTGCTAGAGAATAGTCATGGATCAGTCAGACACATCTCCACTGGACAGCATCGAGCATAAATAATGTATTCAGGGCGGCAGCACCCAAAACATGAGAGCAGTACTAGGTAAGGCCTTATCTGGGCGTTGTATAGAGTGAGAAGGTCATGGGGAGAAAAGTAGTTCTTAGCCCTGAACAAATAGCCTAGCTTTTTCCCAGTAGCTGCCGCTGTTGACGAGATGTGTTCGTGCCAGATCAAGTCCTCGATGATCTGCAATCCGATCAGCCGAAATGAAAGGCGCTTTGTCAGAACTCGGCCATCCATCGAAACCGGATGAGCGCTAGAATGCTTTTTGTTCGTCAAGGTACAGTACTGTGTTCTGGAAGCATTGAACTGTTCAAGATTGTTGCGTCCCCAAGCAGTGGTAACCTCCATGTCTCTCGTCGAAGAAGCGGCAGAGATCGGCTTGTCACTCTGAATTCCTGCATGTACAGTGCTGTCATTAGTGAAGCTGTGGATTGGGTTGATTATGCAGGAAAGGAGGTCGTTGACATGAATGAGTAACACTCTCGGAGCTAAGACCGATCCCTGGGGAAGACCCGCGTTGTGGATAAAGAAGAAAACCCGTCAGTTACAAATGATATGTTGCGGCCAGAGAGAAAGTCAGCCACCTATCTGCAAAGCTTTTCTGGGACGCCATAGGATGGAAGTTTGAATAAGTGGGCAGCGTGCTACAGCTGATCGAACGTTTTCGTGATATCAAGAGCAACGACATGAGCGTCACTATTGCATGACGTAAGCTGTGAGGTCCCCTGTGGATCGCTGGTGCCGGAAACAATACTGACTATCGTTAATCAAAGCGTGACGTTCGAGGTAGACCAGAAGCTCGCGATTCATGCAGCGCTCTCGATCACCGTACCTATAACAGAAAGCAGAGCCATTTATTGGGCTGTAGTTGTAAAGACCGACTGCCATTGTGCTGCGGCATTACACTGTTCCTAACTTCTATATCGTGCTGGTCTTTGGTATTGCGAACAGTTTTGTTACATTTGATTCTGGACCCGACGTCGGCTTGTCTGGTCTCTACAATGGGGTTTTGTAACAAGGTTATCTGTGCCTTGATCTGCTCGTGGGAAGCGTCACACGACTTGTTGAAACCCTGGTTCAGAAACTTTCACCGTATGAGGGATGTATTCCTCCATTCCGACGTGGGTAATTTCGTTTATCGAAGAACATACAGCCAATGCATCCACGTCAGCGAAACAAGGAAAGGTAAAGAAGAAGTCTCTGAGCCCCTCCGCCACAGTGGGTTCTGACCGAAGCATAACCTCCACAAGACCGTGGTCTGAGTTATCCAGGGGGCACAGAACAGCAGTGCTGCAAGGGACAGGATGCGTGGTCAGCAAGAGATCCAGCAGGCTACTGACATGTGGCGAGACGCGGGGAAAAAAGTAGGGCTCGCCACCAGCGGGGTCAGCCCTTGAGTAAGAGCGAACGCTTCAACTGCACGACCTGCTGCATCGGTCTTGTTTGAACCCAACCAAAGCTCATTATGGGGACTGAAATTACTGAGGAGAACTAAATCCTCTGAAGCGGGTGATTGATGTTCAGGAAGTCGATCTTGACAGCGAGGTATTCAAGTAGGTCATTCCAGTTATGGTTGTTTGGACAGCGTCTGCCAAATGGTCGAAATACTAAGCATTCTCTAAGCAAGCAAACAATGACATGTTCGCTTCCAATCTTCCGTAACCATGACCTACCGGAGACAGCGCAGCTCATCAGTGTGGTATAGGTCTCAGGTCTGGTCACGGAGACAGGCGAACCAGGAAGCTGTTTCCCTCCAACTTCGTTGGTATGGTCTTTTGAAAAACTCAAAACATTGTGTGCAAATAGGTGGAAATCTGACTTGCGCACAACGCTTAGCGTTTTTATAAAGTCACAAGACTAATACCTTTACCACACTGATGAGTGACTAATAAGCACGATACATCGCTGTCTGCGGGTGTTCATGGTTAGAGAATATTGGAAGCGAACATGTCTATTTCAGCTGAAGATCAGCATTTTAACCAAAAGCAGATCCTCTGAGACCTCGGAGACTATGGCGATAAAAAACAGCTAGATTTGAAAAATAAGAGAATACACACGTCGTCGAAAAGAATCCAAGGCATTCACAAGGAGTTACTGCTTGGCGCAGTTTTTTGTTTAGTCGCAACATTGGCCTATTTTCCTTTCATAATGAGCAATGAGGTCCTATTTTAGTAAATGACGAGCGCTACTGTTTCACACTCATCGAATTTTTATTCCCAAAACTTGAAGAGGATGGTATCGACGTTTAGTTCGAACAAGGCGGCGCAAATTGCCTAACAGCCAAGGCATCAATCCAAATGTAACATGTAAACCTATCCTATGGTTTTCATGAGATAATCCTCCATGTTTGTCTGGCCAAGCAAACCACATTTGTGTAAAGTTCTTCTTTTTGACATTTTTTTTTAATTTCTCTGTCTCGCAGGTGATTTTGACGTTTCTCCCTCTGTTATGTAGCCTTTCTATGATTCTACATAAAATGAAACAATTGTCTTTCTTGTTCTTTTGTGGTCGGAACGCACCGTGTTGTTTGTCCAAACAACATGGCTGCCTTGAATGTCGAAGTGTTATTTATCGCATATCAGATCCGCTAAAACTGCATTTCCAAAGTTTCAGTCGAAGATTGCATAACAATTAACCGGTGTGTTACGACCACAGTTCAGGGTGGGCTTTCGCGTTTTTTTTTTTGAGGGGGACGAGGGTGTCGTAGATATGTGGTGTATTAAAAAGAATGACAGATCAGGCAGCAGCGGTGGCCGCAGTAGTAGATTCTTCGATCTCCTGATCAGTCGCCGTGCGCCGTGCGGGTTCGAATCCCGTCCCAAGAGAAATTTTTCTCTTGGATATGGATTCTGTGATTGTCCGTAGGTGGCAGACGGTCTCTGACTGTCGAATGCAGAGGTACCACCCGGCGGATCTCGTAGACGGGGCCAGAATGTGTGTATGTTGAATGCACACGTGTTCCCTCGCCAGAGTGCGTGTGGCGTTCCTCCTTTCTCTGTATCCCCATATAGCCCCACGGCACCCCATGGGTGTTTAGGCCTTAGGCCTTCGTGATAGTTGGAATATATATATATATATATATATATATATATATATATAAAGGGATGACCTCAAGCTGGCTTGTCGTTTTGGTGTGCCGGACGTCCTCTTGGGAGCGGAAATCTCTACCCCAGGCGGTTCTGAGATATGCTGGTTTTGCACGGTGCAAATCTGGAAGTATAGATTTGCGCAGTCTCAGCATGTTACAGGAACTGCCAGACTGTTGTAGTTACACACTGTATAGCAGGAGTTCCTAACTAGGGGGGGGGGGGGGCGGAAAGCGTTTGTATTTTAGAAAGAGAAAAAAATAAACCAACAACATTAACAAATAACATTACAATGTAATGTTTAATCTACACGCATAAAATTAGAAATTATATATCATATTCACTATTCTGTCAACCGCTGTTTCAAAACCCTGCGTCGTGAATCGCACTTTATACAAGTTTCGACAAGTCACAACATGAAATCCGCGCGCACCCCCGTCGCGCTCCGCCTAACATTCATTACTCAGAAAACAATTGTGTACCCACCACACGCGGATGAGTATAGTCAGAATCACGAAAGATGACTATTACGTCATACCACAAATTGTACTGAAGTAATCAATGGACGTACCTCGATGATAAAATCACGATGTCATGAATAATGACAACAAATTTATATCATGATTTTGCGAAGTTAGGTTATTTCACCGATTATTTTTATTTTGTTTCATGGTTTTGAGTAATAATAATCTTAGTCCTGAGTTTTTGTTTTGAAAAAAACAGTCATGATTAGAATACCCTAAGACAGAAACACCAAAGACCAAAGTATTATTCGAAAACAACCTAACCCGCTTTAACATAACCTATCTATTCACCTTTCAAAAATGATCGATCATACGACATGAAAACATAGTCTATCTTTGTCGAATAGATACATATTAGCAATACAGTTTGATTAGACAATAAAATTCTGTCTAGCTTATCTGAAACTTGATTAAAAATATTCACAAATCGCTGTCGTTTGTCTTTACTACAGACTAAAACGATGACGTAATCGTCATCTTTCGTGATTTCGACTATATCTGTGACATTCATTCCCACAAACTTGCGAAAAATTTGACGTTTCGATGTACATTTTTTGTTGAGAAATCTGTCTGAGTGTGTCGAATCATTGTGTCTTACTGCCAAATGCATTTAAAATTACAGTTATAACGTCAACCTCCCTATAAAAATATAAATCTCCCGGTGGCCAATATACTGTTGAATACATTACGTTATTAAGATAAAATAATGGGCAAATAATTAGTAATTACATATAGGTATTTTGCGTATTTATTTATTATTTATTTGTTTTATTGACATAGGTGCGAAATGGCGGTGAAAAAAAAAGTTTCCGAAGATTACGTTAAGTTTGTATTTACCTTCATAGAAAAAGACGAGTTACAATTTCCTCAGTGTGTGATATGTATGAAAGTTTTAAGTAATGATAGCATGAGGCCCAATCGCCTTTGAAGCAACAATATTCTACTCTGGTTTTGAAGACGTAATAGTTTTTTTCTCCTAAAGCAGAATCACTCAAGCGGATGAGACTGGATAAATTGGGAAGTTATCACACAGGTGTATCGCAGCATCTCAAAGCTTCATTTGAAATAGCTTTTATGATAGTAAAGCAAAATAAACCTCATACTATCGGTAAAGAATTAATAAAACCATGTGTCCTAAAAGCCACGCAGATAATTTTAGTAGAAGATGCAGAGCAAGACATGAATTCTACTTTTCTTTCGAATAACACAGTCAAGCGTAGAATCGATGACATTGCAGCAGATATAGAGTCACAAATAATCAACAAAGTAAAATTATCGCCATTGTGAACAGTTAATAGTTTATGTTCGTTACATCGGAGGAGATATCATTCAAGAAGAGATTTTGTACTGCCAATCTGTGACAGCAGGTACTACATCTGAAGATATATTTAATTCAATATCAAATTTTTTTGAAAAAAATTATTTGGATTGGAAGAAACTCTTCGGACTTTACACAGATGGCGCACCTGCAATGATAGGTGTACGATCTGGTTTAGCTAAAAAGCTCAAGATAAAAATCCTGCAATGGCTAGTACACATTGTGTTCTTCATCGGCAAGCTATGGGTTCCACAACATTGCCACAGAAATTACGCCAGACTTTGGACTCGGCTATAAGGGTTGTAAACTACATCAAGAGCAGCGCTTTGAACAGTCGGTTATTTACTTTACTTTGCGAGGATCTCGATTCTGATCACAAAGTTCTTCTGTTCCATACAGAAGTACGCTGGCTGTCCAAAGGCAACATGTTGGCTCGCCCTTATGAATTGAAAGAAGAGATAATTCTTTATCTTGAGTTCAAAGAAAAACACGATTTCTTGACAATGTTCAAAGATGACACATTTCAATGGAGGTTGGCTTATTTAACTGATATATTTGATTCCTTGAATGATCTAAACTTGAAAATTCAGGGCAAAAACAACACTATAATAAGCAATTATGATTATATTCAGTGGTTTATATCAAAGCTTCAACTTTGGAATCAAAAAATGTCTTCTGAAAATGTTATATCTTTTGCTCGGCTGTTCCAAGCAATTAAAAATTACATACTGGACGCAAATTTAAAAGCTGACATAAAATCTCATTTGCAAGCGCTGGAAGACGAGTTTCGCCTATACTATCGAGACATCGATTCAGAGTCACCAGTATGGCACATGACAAGCAATCCATTTGTTGTCGATGTGTCACAATTACCCGAAGTTCAGGGAGAATTTCCAGAAATGAAGGCTGATTTCTCCATGAAAGATGACTTTTATCCTTTAGCATTGAAGAAATTTTGGATCAAAAGATTGCCTGTTAATTCGGCACTTGTCTCTCTTGCTTTACGAATACTAGTTCCTTTTTCTTCAACTTACTTATGTGAGACAAGCTTTTCTGCTCTAGTTTTAATTAAAACTAAATAGCGAAATCGTCTTGATGTCGATAGCGACCTGATGATAGTTCTGGCAAAAACAAAACCTAGAATCAACCAACTGGTACAAAACATGCAATCTCAAGCATCTCATTAGTACCTACTCTTATTTTATTCAAGTTTTTCGATAAAAAACGTCCATTAGTTTATTTAAACTTTTTAAGTTCCTTTATTAGAATTAAAATAAAAGTCTTTGTAATATATAATGTACGTTTTTGTGTATTTATTGAAAAAGTAAAGGGGGCATGAAAATATAACTTATAGACCGGGGAGCTTCAACAAAAAAAAGGTTGGGACACACTGCTGTATAGGAATGTGAAAACGAAAAGAAAAGAAAACGAAGTGTTACCTGGAAGACAAATAAATGCAATATATCGTCAAAAGAGACTCAACTGTATGTTGTGAAGAAGGTCACCGTTAGAACCAAAACGTATACAATAAAGAAGAATTTTACGCACATGTGGTTTGATCGTTCTGACAAACATGTTGAAATAGCAACAATCCAACACCGTTTTAGCAAATCGAATAATCAGTCAAAATTTTGATTTCTATTGGCCGCCTCGAAGCTGTTAAAAGAATATTCATTAGTTTCTTTTTTACACTCAATTCAAATTTCAAATCGGTTTAACTTTCCATCAATTTCTCTCGATTTGCTTATATTTTTGTCAGCTATAAAAGCCCCACTTTGTTCAACGCCTTCATCCACTCAATCTCCGAGATGAAACAGCTTCTAAATGGCTGAAAGCTATAAAATCATTCGAACGCAATTTTCTGCTCTCTAATCTTTTGTCCCTTGCTAAGGCCCGTCCGACTTGCAGTCAGCATAATTTATCAATAAAACCTTTTAACGTAAAAACAACCAATCGGTCCAATCTCTTTAATGGATCTATTGTACAACAAATCCGTCGTCTGGAGAAAAAACTAAGATTTGGAGACTTAAGCTTTACTGGGGGTGAAAGCGTAGATACAAAAGCTGTCGTTTGTGTAAGAAAATTGAGAGGGACTGGAGCTGCCGGACAAAGGAAAGAAAAATCTGCTGCTCCTTTGCTGTGGTGATAAGGATATAACATAATAAGAGAAATGAACAAAAGTAGTCGTCACTTGTCATTTGCAGATCTATTAACGATAATAGCATTTTGTTCTTATACAGGGTGTCCCATCTTCCGGGACATAGAAGTACCACGTATGTTTAGACTGAAAATAAGTAATAATAATAACAATAATGTCTTTATTAATCCATCCACACTGCGAAGCGAAGTTTAGCCAGCTGGCTACACTACCACTTAACCTCACAACGCAGGAACACATACAAAAGGAAAGATATAACAATGAATAGCAATCGACTAAATAATATACACAATAATTAAGGCTTAAATAGATTAATCTAATATGTTGTACATCTATTCTACATACTATAGCCTAACAAAAAAAAACAATAAGGACAAAAAAAATATATCAGCCAGCTTGGCTAGCAGACCCCAGAAGATGGTTCTTAATAGCTCTCTTGAGCGCAAGTATTCCCTTCTTTTTCTAATTGTCATTAAGACTGTTATACACCTTGACAGCGTTGTAGGTGAAGCTACGATGGAAGATGTTGCTCCTATAACTAGGTATATTGAAGTCAGAGTTATGTCTGAGATGCCTGTAATTGAGATCCCCACGTGGTACCAGCCTTTTTAGTAGATAAGTAGGTAGCCTATTGAATTTTATTCGTTGTACTAAAATTAGTAAATTATATGTGAAAAGCTGGTCAACCCTCAACCATCTAAGCTCACTGATCTTCTTAGACACATGGCGAAACTTTCGCAGACCACAAACGAACCTACAGCAGCTATTTTGAATTTTTTATACTCGATATCTAGTCACGTAATCAAGACAAGGAAAGTAAACAGCAATTGAATAATTTATTAACGATAGAACCAGAGTCTCAGCCAGTTTTTTGCGAGTCTTGAAATTTAGAATATGGCGATTGGTGTAAAGTATCTTCAAACGCATGTATGTTAAGCGAGATAAATGCGTAACATGTTGCTTAAACCTCAAATCTGAATCCATGGTGATCCCTAAATTCTTCGCATGGTCTACTATAGGAATATAGGTTTCGTTAAGACAATTAACAATTGTGCCATCTAACCGTTGTACTAACTGTTTTGGGCCAAATAGTATGGTAGAACATTTTGAAGCATTGATCTTCAGACAATGTCTTTTGCAGTACTCTTCACTGTTAACTAGAACTAAGTTCAATTTATATGATGCTTCATGCATGTCCAAAGAATCAAAAGACAGAGTTAGCTGCGTGTCATCTGCATACGTTTGAATATTACAGTGCTGAAGGCAAGTATGTAGATCAAAAGTATAAACTAAATAGAGTAATGATCCCAACACAGAGCATTATCAGATATCCGCTACTAGATATAGTGAATTGACAACAAAGTATTTCCAACGCACCCGAGTCGATAGGGTTCGTATTTACTAAACAACAATTGAGATATGACCTGGCATACAAGGCAACACCTCCACCCCTAGCTCCACGATCTTTCCGGAATAAACTGTAGCCATTCATTGATACTGCACCATCATCAATGCAATCGTTTAACCATGTTAAAGTCGATTTGACACGTTTTACTTCTATGCAAAGGTGCTTCGATTGTCCGCTGGACGGCGTCAAAGCATTGTTTTTAAAACACATTTTTCAGTTTTTTTGGAATTGATAGTCCGATTTGAATTAACTTTTTTGCTACACGTTCTGATATTTGACTTTTACGAAAAAACTCGGGTTAGAGAAGGGTGAAAACTACCCCTCACCCTTACATATATTATAGTATTTTTTTATTTAGCAGACCTATCCACTTATTTCATTTTTGTCTCGTATAAAAACGTTGCATCTTGGATAGTTTTCGAGAAAAAAATGAGATGCATCAAGAGGTTCCCAGGCGTCCTCTTAATTCTTTAAGCAGCGAAAATAAACAAGTATGATATCAGTCATTACAATTTTATTCAATAATAATAGTAATAATAATAATAATAATAATAATAATAGTAATATTTATTTACTCTAAAATACAGGGAATATGGAACGAGTAAATAAATATAATACATCCATAGGAGGACAATGCCTGTGCATGGATCATATGTATGTTGAATTGCCAAAGATAAAAAAGAATAAAGAGAAAAAATTATTGATAAGAATGATAGAGCATTTATTGTGTAATATTTGAGATTATTCTATTAATGTGATTTCTCCCAATCGTGTTAATGAATTTTTTTAATTTTTTTTGAAACCTAATGTATTGCGTGATTGTTTTAAATTATTTGGTAAATCTTCGTACAATTTTGGAGCTAAATACAAGTGACATCGTTTCATTAAATATTTGTTTGGTTTAGAAACACTTTTTGCCCGTAATTTATAATATTCAGTTAATATACCGGTTAGAGATTTTCTTGTATATGCTATGAATCTTATTCTCTTTAGTATGTAAGAAATATGTACATCCCATCTCAAGTGGCAATCTAGATAAATTCCTAAATATTTTGTATCATTAACTCTATTGATTTTTAGATTTTTATCGTTTACCTTAAAGCGACGGTGGTCATATTTTGGTAGATGATTAGATAGTGATCTAAATGGTAAAAAATGAATTTTAGTTAAGTTAACTGTTAATTTTCGGTTATTAAACCACTGAATAATTTTGCAAAAGCCATTTTGGATAACATCTTTTAAGTCGATCCATTCCTTACCTTTATAGAGTGTAGCAGTGTCGTCCGCAAAACTGACTATTTTACCTGTACTATTAATTTCAAATATATCGTTTAAATAAATATTGAATAACAGAGGACCCAAAATTGTACCTTGTGGTACACCACATTTAACAAACATACAGGCAATAGTGCGAA